CGGGGCGGTGCTGTGAGACCACAGCCCCCGGGGGCGGAACCGCGCTGATTACAAGGAAACGCGCACGCGCACCCTTATGTGCACGCAGGCGCACATCTGCAGGCAGGCATGCTAACAAGCACACACAGCGACACACGCACACAAGTGCAGGCAGGCACACCTGCACAGTCACGCAAGCCCAAGCTAGCACACACAGAAGCGCACACAGATGTACAAACATGCATGCACACATATACACTCACAGAGGTATGTACGCATGCACGCACACAGCACTGCCGTGTGCACACAAACACGTGGTGCATCCCAACATGGCAAGGGGCCCAAGCAACTCGTTCCCACCCTTTTGGCAGGACCCTCATCTCCGTGGTCCCTTCTGTCCTTCCGGTAGCCACAACACATGTGTGTGCATGTGCATGCACGGCCCTGGACACGCCCACATGCATGTCATGCACGCTTCCATTCACACGCAGAATGCTCACACTTGTTGAAAAACCTGCTAATTTTAATAGTAAATTCTGAAGTCGTTCCCTGGTATCTATCAGCCAACATCACAACTTTATACAGTTCCCGAGGCACAGCGTAGCCCCCAAGCCCCATATCAGTCCAGCGCCTGCTGCGCTGGCAGCTCCTCTTGCTTCCTGAAGAGAAGAAAAGAGCAGCTGTCAAGCTGGGCTTTCCCCCAGGTGGCAGAGGGACAGTGAAGGAGGTAGCACCCCAAGGTGCTTGGTGCCCCTAGGCAGGTGGGTGTTACGGACCCCTGGCATGGCATGTCCCTGCAACTTGCCACAAAGTCAGCTAAATTGGTTGAAGCTACTGGGGAAGGGGGAGTGAGCCCTGTGGGGCACCCATGCTGAGCTGCACCAGGAGCACTCCCAGAAGCTGAACAAAATTAAAGTTGGGTTGGACTTGTGGCTGAGTCCAACAAGGATGAGAAAGGATGAGAGAAGATGAGGGCGATGGAGGAGGTGACCCTGCGCAGTGAGCTGGACGTGAGCTTCACAGGACACAGATCCCGAAACGGGACCACAGCCAAGACCAGGGCTAAACGGGCAGCAGCAGCGCTGCACCGTGCTCATCCCTTCTCCCATCCCCTGTAGCCCTGCTGATCCCATCCGGCAGGGCTGGGCACCTGGCACCCTGAGCACATGGCCTCCCTAGCACCCTCCTCCATGGACAGGGACCATTGCTCCCACTCTCAGGGTGGACCTGGGTGACAAGGTGGTGGCATCAGCAATTGCAGCAATTGCTCTGGGCAACTGCACATCACTGTGATGGCAACCTTTCTTGGTGACATAACAGCAAGGCAGCAAAGGTAAACCCTGGCAGTTCCCACACTGGAACGAGAGGTGAAAGACAAACACAGGCGCTGTCACCATCCCACTTACTTTAGTTCAGCCCTGTTGAAAATCTCTTCCTCGTCTGAGGACTCTTCATCGTACAACTTCTGAGCCATGTTTTTTTTATGCTGGGAATCAAGGGGCTGGTACATGTCTCTAAGCCACAGCGGTTTGTTTTTGCTCAGATCTGATACATGAGAGCCCTGGGAAGCATCAAGCAAGGGAATGTTTCAGATATGAGAAATAGCTGGGAGCGCAGTGAGGGGGGCAGAGGGACACACATCTCACGTTCCCTCTGCTGTTACCTGCTTTGTAAGGTCATGTGTGTTCTTGCTCCATCTGCCTGGCAGGAATTTCTGAAAGAACCTTAAGAATGATAAAAAGTAAAGGAAGCTGGTGATGGCAGTTAGTGCTAAGAAGGTCACTTGCACCCTGCCTTGCTGGGGTCCCCCTACTCAGTACAGCACCGTGTTTATGGTCAGGCAACTGGCGTTTATGATGCTGTGAAACATCTGGATTTAGTGGGTTAGGGATAAAGAAAGGGAAGGAGAAAGGCTTTTATGCATCATCTCTGCAGAATTTACCTTTCCTGGCCCATTTGCAGAGTGGCATGGCCGGGGTGGCTGCAGTGGGTGTCAGTGCCCTGCCGTGGCAGAAACCTCGACCTACTTGGGGTAGTTTCATCGGACCCTAATGAAGATGAACCTCCCCATAAAGGCGAGTCTTTTAAGTGAAGGGATGGTGTTTGCCAAGATGCCTGGGAATTAGTTCTAGTTTAGCCTGGAAACAAGAGCATCACAAGAAGAGAGGAGCAAGCTCTTAAACAGCCTCTCTGGGGAACGGGGAATGGGGCAGGGAGAAGTGGGGGCAGAGCTGTCACTGCGTACATCAGAGAAGGGTCATGCTGGGCACCAGGGCAGAGAGGTGTTTTCTCTTGCCTACAAAGCATGGTCAGGCCAGTGCTGAGTGAGCTGAGAACCGGGGGTGTGGCACGACGTGGGAGCCCAGGGCCAACATATCTGCTGCAGCCAGCATTTATGGTTGCTGTTTTGGTTGCACTGCAAGGAGAAAGGCTGCTGGGGGGTCTGTGGAGGTGCTGGTTGAGATCTGAGCTTATAGTGGTGCTGATTACTCACACTTTGGGGTCCCTTTTCTAGGTGTGTTAAAAAGCTACATAAACATATCCACCCTGGTGACTAGTGACTCCTCTGCAGCCAGTGCCTGAGTCCTTGGGGGGCTCCACGATTAGGCGCTGTTCAGAGTAAAGACTGTTTGTGGCCCAGCAGTGGGACGGTGGAGGGAGTAATTACCATCTCAGTCGTGATTTACTGGTGGTTTGGGGTTGGGAAGCAGCTGCAGATTTCTGGGAGCAAACCTGGTAAAGCAGAGAGAGAGAGAGAGACTTGTTACATCAGGATTTTCTTGTCATACTCTGCAAAACAAGGGAGGCCAAAAGGTTGTTCCTTAAACCAAGCATGTTATATGTGCCAGAAGCAAAATTTGTGAGTCTGTGCCAGAAGCAAAATTTTTAGAAAGAGCCCATCCTCCCTTCCCAGCTCCCAGCTTTCCTTGCCTTAGAAATGACCTGAACTCCCAGAGCTCTCCTAATCTCAGAAATGTTTATGTCTGCCTTTCTTATCTGTGCAGTGCTTTGCAGGGTACTCCCCTCCTGTTTAAAGCTAATCCTAAACATGTAGGTAGGTAGGCTTTTAAAGAAATAAAGACTTTCTGCAAGGAGAAGTGCACTAAATGAGGCTGTGCCCTCTCTTCTGCCTGGCTCTGGCAGTGCTCTGACCCACACTGAGCCATTGCACCTTGCTGAAGTGGTCAGCAGCTTCTTTTTGAGAGATTTTGAGCTGCTAGGTAGCTAGGGAAGCCCTCCAACGTTTGTTACTTTGCAGAAAAGCTTGGTTTTGGCAAGTGTGAAAGTAGCAGGGGAATTGCTGTACATCTGAAAGCACTTGGCACAGGCAGGAGAGCAGAACAGGGGCAGAAGAGCCTGGAAAAGGTGATCCCATAAGGCCCAGGGTGATGAACAGCAGGGATTGCAGTGTAAAACTCAGAGACAGGCTGATGGGAGAAACTATGATGACAGAGAACCACAGCACTCTCAGAGAAACTGGGAAGTGGGTAAGAGAGCTGTGGCAGTCTGATTAGGTGACCTCCGGACAGCTTGTGACAGATGCTGGGATGAGCCCCCATGGTAGGGCCTGAACCCACGCTGAGCTATGTGGTGTGCATGTCATGACAAGCTTCAAAGGTTGGAAAAAAAGCTCTTGAGCTATCCGGCATGTCCGTAGACATCCACATTGATGCTCTGGGTTTCACGAGCTACACAGGGAGGCATCACCCCAGCCCTGTGCGCTCGAGCTACAAGGCTTGACTGGCAGCTGTCTGTCAAGGGAGTTATCTGCTTACCTCAATAAGACAAATCACTGTGAGAAAGAGCATGATGATGACAGCCACCGATACTGCCACCAGGAGCCTGTTGCCGTAGGCATACTCTGGTTTCTTCTGGTACAGAAGAAGAAAAAATCAGCAAGGGAGAGACCGTTATTCCTTCCATTCCCCATTGTCCAGAAAAATCATATCCAGCGATATCCAGTGTTGGTCCTACCTTCCCTGCGAGTTTCCTGCCTGCCGCCCTGGGCTGGGCTGTGCCATTGGGAACGTTCCCTTCCAGGAAACACCGGCCTGCGAGAGCAGAGGCTCCCTGGTGATCCTGCCTCTCACTGAGTACCTTCAAGAGCAGCCCCATCTTCGAGACCATCTTTGTGCAGGCCAGCTGGACCGCAGGCAGGCTGCAGTCTATCCTCAGGGCTCGTGCCACGTGAGCAATGAACGTCCGCAGGGCTTTCTCTGGGACGAGTAAGCGCAGGTGATATTTGAACTTGGTTTCAAACAGGTCTCCTTGAACCGGCGCGGTGTCTGGGCTGTCTGAACTACTTGGTTTATTGAGGAAATCAAATCCTTCCTCCTTTTGATGCTTCCCATGTGTTTCGTCAGTTTGACGGATGCCCAGTAAGTGCCCACCTGGAGAGGAAGCCTTGTCTTTAGACGTATTCTCTAGCATACTCCTTGCAATGCGGCGGCTGCTGTTAACCAATAGGTTATAGAAAAAATGTCCTGCAGTGTTTAATCTCTGCTCTGGTTTAGGTTTTATTGGTGTGGGCTCTTCCTCTGGATTAACTTCATAGTCTGTCCTGTAGAAAAGCTGATTACTTTTACTCAGACATGGACTCTCTTGCTGCCCGTGCTTTTTGTAGGTCCAAATAGAGCTATGGCTTGGAGGTGGTCCATCCTTTCCATCCTCTATGCCCTCCATCTCATGATTTTTTTTGGCCTGTTCCAGAGCATCAGAATAATCTGGAATCTTAAAAGACCTGGACAAATGAGAGGCTTCTGCTGGGGAATACAAAAGGGAATGCTTTGAAGAAGGCATGGATATTTTGTCATGTCTGAAGACAGTGTTAGTGGGGTTTAACTTCTCAGCTACTTCCCATAGGCTTAGTGGTGTGTGGTGCAAACCTAAGTCATGTTGCTTTTGCACCCGATCTGTAGCAGCTGTGGTCCTCTCTTGTTCCACTGCTAGGGTCCTGTGCACCTCGCGCCTCTGCATAGCAAGCGTCGGTGAGAGAGAGATGATATTCTTCACAGTCGTGACGTTTTTAGCCTTGTGTAGCTTCTTCTCAAGCTCAGCCACTAGCACTTTTGCTAAGAAATGGAGTTTCTTCATATCGCTTTCACTGGTCCAGCCCTTGTTCTGAATGCTGTGCAGCATCAGCATCAATTCCTTATTGCTCTTACCTTCCTGCCTAGATAGGTGCTGAGGGAAATGGGAATTTCTTCTGGGAATGTGATCATTTGGCTTACTGAGATCAGCATCAGTGCTTGTTAGGTTCAGGACCACCGCAAGTGTTACTGTTTCATAGCCTCCAAGCACAGGTTCTTTGGGCTTGAGGTTTAACACCACTGTGGTGTTCAGTTTTCTGGATTGTAACACTTTCATTATCTCTGCTTGCATCTTTGCCAGAGAATCTGTATGAGCTGTTAAACACCAAGAGAGCCGATCAGTGACTCTCATGTCACAAAAAACTTTCTGCCAAAGTGCAGGGTCAAAGGTTTACCCCAAGACAAGGGAGTGTGTGAACCAAATGGTGGATGCATTACAGAGGGGAAAAGTCTTCTTAAATCAGTTAGATTATCTCACTGGGGCAGAACAGATACATGTTTTTTCTGGTCTCTCTCAGGGCTCTGTTCAAATCAGTGTGAGTCATCCCAGGGACAGGGGTTTTCTGTGGGAGAATCTCCCACAGCTTAATACAAGTCAGTGCTGAGTTGCTAAAAATGCCATAAAGCTTAAAACTAGGAGTGAGCCTGGAAAGCAGAATACCCAGACACAGCGTTTGTCCCCAACTAGCATTTGTCAGTTATCCCAGCTAGCCCTTCTCCCTGCAGTTAATAAAACTTGGGATATTTCACATTAAAAAGCTTCTGTGTTGTTGTCGAGCTCCCAAAAGCAGTGGTGGGGCTTAAGTCAGAGTGAGCACCCAATAAAGGAGCACTGATTTTCTGATGATGGATGTAGCTCCCCTCACCCAGGCCTAGGAGAAGTGGAAGAACTGGACATTTGACCCAGAGCAATGCATATAGCCCAGGATAGCTCTTGCCCTGGTATGTGAAGGGAACATGTTGAGCCTGCAAAGTTAGAATAAGTAGTATTCTAGAGTCCTACACCATGGCTGCAAACACAGCCTTATGTCTAATGCCACTTTGCAGATAGGTTAATGTCAGAGGCAGGGTGACATGTTCAAGAATATTTACAGATTACAAAGGTATTCAGGCTTCATCTGCCTTTAAAATGATAGGAAATTAGACACCAAAATATTTCTGATGATCTGGCTATAAGTAGCTTAGGAACCCGTTTTCCCTAGACTTGCAATGAAGTTAGACTCACTTGTCCATATCCAGCTTGAAAATAAGTTACCTGGGGACCTTTGAAATGTTGCTCTATTTGCAGAAGCCTACCTTGCCTCTGGTTTGAATAGGATGATTTTTACTCTATGCAAAGATCGAGCAGGACAGTGCACTACTCAGGCTGCACAGACTAGCGAGAGAATAATAACGCCTGGTGTTTGTCTAGTGCCCTATGAAGGAGGTCAGGGTTACTATCCTCTCTTCTACACATGGGGAGCAGATTGGCAGAGAGACTAGACAAGTTTTGGACTAGACAAGTATTTCCCAGGCACCCTCCAACACACCACACATTACAGGAGGTTTCTCCAGAGCCTGCCTAGGCCATCTGTGCTTGGTTAAGGGTTTCCAGTGTGCGTGGCAGGTCTGACGTGCCACTCAGCACATGCTACATTGCCAGTACAATAGGAGCATTACAGGACCCTTTTGCCGGTTCCATGCTGTATTTGGGATCACTCTTACTGCTGAGCTGTGACTGGCCAAGGTATGGTGCCACTGGAAAGGGTTAGAAGGATGTCAGGGAAAATTTGGAGGGTTTATGAACAGATGGTGCCTTCTAGCACCTGGGAATGGTACTGGGCACGCATGATTTACTTGACTAGATGTGTTGTGTGCATTGGAAGCTCTTGTGTTTGTTTAGCTCAGCAAGCTATTTCTTCTCAAGATAGTATTTGACACAAAAGATATGGGTAATCGCTAGTAACTTTTCAACTCTTCTTTTTTCAAAGTCATGTGGTTGAAGGGAACTTTTTGTGCCTATGGCTCAGGGAGCATAGTCAGAGGCCTCCCTGGTCTCAACTGAACTACCTGCACCGGCCTTCGGGCTGATTTACAAGTTTCTCTATTTGTGCTCAGTAAGCAGTGCTGATTCTGCCCAGATCTGGCATCCCTGGGACTGGTCAGGAGTCACCAGCCTGGACTGATGCCATTGGGGCTGCCAACTTTGGCTGGGAACCCTCATAAGATCCCTCCTCTAGCATCTTCCACAGCTAGAGGAAGCCGGACAAATTTCAAGAATCTACACTGACAGTGTCTTACATTGACAGCAAACCTACCGCACTGGGGAGCGTTGGTGGTGCATAAATTCTCACAGCGTAACTTGATGGTCTTGCACAGGGTTTCAATAGTGTCTTTCTTCTGACAGAGGCAGCAGGCCATATCACTGGGGAGTTTGCTAAAGACAAAGAGGTTACTGGACAAAATCCCAGCATCTCAATCGATGTCTGTGGGTCCAACTCAGGTAACACACAGAGATAATGCATTCCAGTTGTGCTTGGATATCTTCTACAGCTCTGAAAAATGTATTTTCCCCCCAGTGAAAATTCTGATGGACAAAAATGTTCTCCAGATTTCTAAGAGAAGTTACAAATAGAAAATAGTTTTCCCCAGTGACTTCAAAATGTTGATTTTACTTTCAAAAATAGAACCAATCCCAAAGGCAATTTGAAACAGAAAATCACATCCTCACTTGATTTAAGACTTCCCTTTGGAAACCTGGAACACATCACATAAATGGTGAAATTTGTTCCTTAGCAGGTGAGTTTGGGGGGTATCAAAACTAAATAGCATTTTCTTTTTATGATTTGTATTGTCTGAGCTGTAGTTATGCCTAAGAGCCCAGTCATGGACCTGAGCCCCTGTTGCTCAGTGCTGTCACTCAGGGGTCTTGAACAGACACTTGTAGTACTCTGATGGATACTAGGGAAAAATAAAGAGCTCCGGGTGAGCAAAACTTGGGCTTACTGGGGTAATTTTGACATTGTAGTGAGCTGATTTGTTTCCCATGCAGACCTCCTGTTTCAGCAATTGTGATTTGTAGGCAGCTGGGACCAAGTTCCCGCATACTCACAGCGTTTCCAAGTGGACTGTTGTCAGGAGGAGAGTGTGAAACGTCTGCAGAGTCACTTGTGTTGCACCCAGGTCTCTGAAAGGATTTGCAAAATCAAATGAAATTTTCAGACCACATTACTGGAACTCTGCTCTGAGAACAAGCCCAGATCTCTGATGATTGTGGTGTCATTCACAGAGGGATCCACCTCTGCCTAATCAGTCACACTAGTTATTCAAAACCCTGTTTCCTCTTGCCTTATATCTGTTCCTAACCACGGAGTCTAAAGGAAAAAGAGATCCTGCAGATTTCGTGGGAGGCTGATGTGAACAGAAGAGATTCCCCAGCTCAAAATCCTTTTCTAGCTCTGCCATGAGCACAGCCCCAGCCCTCACCCTTGCTCAAAAGGGAGCCACTTCTTGTCCAAGCAGGTGAATCCACGGTGGCCTTGGAAGGAGAGATTAGGGATGAAATTGTGGTCTCACAGCCATCAGTGTGCATCTTGCCATTAATTTCAGTAGAGCCATGATTGCAATTTAAGTATTTCAATTCTTTTCCAAAAAGACAAATCTCTTGGAGAGGTCTTGTGCACATCCAGACTCATATGTGTTATGTTTTATCAGCCCCAGGATGTACAAGGAGGCTCTTATTTGAATGTGGATGACTTAAATGGGGTTCCTGTAGTCTGTCTTCTGGGAGGTTTTTGTTGTTACATGCATTATTCTTTAGTTAATGAGAAATAGTTGCCCAACCAGAGGGAGGGCCAATCTTAAAGCCACCTTTAGTACCAAGACTAGCCCACGCCCAATGGGAGGATCCTGGCCTCCTCTGGTGTTGTCTCCTCATTCAGATCTGGGTAATAAATGATGCTCAGAGGAGACAGAAATGTAAACTGAATACAAGGAGGAAGTTGGAGGCAGAGCCAGACCATGCGGAGTCCTGCTCTGCTCCTGCTGAGGAAGCAGTGGTCTGTTCCTGAGCAGTCAAACAGGCCTGGCCCCCTCCACCTCCATCAGAGGGTCTATCCGGTCCAGGAAGATACTTTGCCTGACTGATGATACATGGGCAAAGCAGAGTCTTTGAATCAGCAAATCGGAGTAAACTACGAAGAACATGTGAGCACATTCATACGGAAGATAAACTTAGAAATTCCGCTGAAGAACAAAGTGGGTTTTTTTTCACCCCATAGATAAAAATTCACACTCCTCAGGCAAGGGCACGGGGTATACTGGGAAGTAGCTGGGAGTTGAAATGTCTCTGACAGGAAGGAAGAGATGCAGATGGACGTATGAATGGAGTATATTTTTAAAAGGCCAGAGACAGTGGAGAAGACCCCACAGCTCAAAGTTTCCTGAAGATGATTACAGCGATGAAAAAAGCCCTGAAAATAGGTTATTTCTAGCACAGAGTGGCATGTGGTGGATGGAGACCTGGAGATCCAGAAATCTTGCTGTGGCCTGTGTTCCGTTCTCTGCTCTGCCACAGCCTCCCTGTGGGACTCACTGGTTCCCATGCTTGGTCCCCATGACGTAACCCCGGCGTCCAGGGATGGAGATGGAGGCATGACAAGGCTAACCTTTCAAATGTCAAGGTAGAAAGAGAGACTTCAGTGTATTTTAGGTGTACAGATGGACTGCCCAAAGGCTCCGCTTGCTGTGTGAGATCAGGGTAGGGCTTTTTGAGTTCACCCCCCGAACCAAATGATAAAAACCTTGCTTTGCCCAGCAACCACTGAACTGAGAGTGTTCATGGCACAACCACGTAGGGAAAATAGAGAGCTGTCTGTGTGATAGCATGGCTGCAAGCAGAAAGGACCTTTGCAAAAAGCACTGACATCTCCCTGCCTGAGGAGTCAGGCGGACATGAGCAAGAGCTGTGGGATGCTGCCAACTATCACCGATGCAGGGCATCAGCAGCCCTGACCTGTGGCAGGGCAATGGGGTCAGGATCCCATTAATCTGGTAAAGTTGAGTCAATACTCACAGGTATTTGAGTGAAGGCAGGTCAAAGAACGATGTGTCATCGATTACGGAGAGGGGGTTATGGCTTAGGACCCTAAAAAAAACAACAGGCCACTGTGACTGGGTGAAGGGAACAGCCTTACCTGTGGCTTTCTTTTTCATAACGTTTTCCCCTGGTGTTTTTGCTTGGTGATGCTGAGGTTAGTGAGAGCAGGGAGAAGTGAAGAGCTTCTAACAGTCAGACTACTGTTTTTGGTGCCCTGTGAGGGACTCTGGAGCCCAGTGGTAGCCCATAGTTGTACAAGCCTTAGCCTCAATTTTGGCTGGGACTTGGGTCATGATTACTGCATTCTGGGAGAAGTAACAACCCAAAGTCCAGTCACGCCTGAGGGTCATGTCCCCACAGAACCTCCCTTTGGGACGAGGAAGGTGAAGGAAAAAGGTGGACCAGGAGGGAAGGAGGGATGGTCTCTGTGCCCATGCTGCCAGGAGGGGTCATGTTCCCCCTTGCTTTGCAGCATCCCCCTGATGCACTGCTTGTCCTCCCTGGGATGTGGAGCCAGGACTTTGCACGAGGAGGTCGGTGAGCTCGGTGCAGGGTGGGTGCAGGCAGTGGGTGCCACTGCAAGGCATAGGAATGAGGACACAACAAGCCAGATAGATGCCGAGAACTGTGCTGGCATGAGTCATGTCCTGAGGAGGACATGAGTGGCGTGGGTAGGGGCACATATATGCAGCCTGTCCACGTATGTCCTCTTATGTACACAGATCCAGATGCCTGGAAAGCCAAGATCAACTGACCCTGTGCAGCAGGCACTGGAGAAATAGGAGATGGTTAATATACTTACTGTAGAGTAAAAACCCCAGTGGTTCCCGAACTATATAAACACAGATAAATCAAAGCACATTTCCACTAGATCATTGTAAAGCACTTTGGCGATCAAGGGGTTTTCTCTTTGCTAGATTTCAAATTTGTAGCCTTTGAATATCAGAGAGGCCCAGAGAGAGTTGTGTGTGTTGGATCTGATGTGGAATAACACTGAAACCCCCCTTTCCAGGCTCCTCTATAATGTGCGAGTAGTGTAAAGAGGTTGCACCGTGGATAAGAATCCAGCCAACTTTTATGGATGGCAGATGTGGATTTGGCTGAACAAGTTTTGCTCAAACCTCCCCAAAGAATTTCCTTTCAAGCGGAGAACAAACATAGGAAATTTCAGCCCAAAGATAAAAATTTGGCTCAGTGCTACGCATGTGAGGAAGGCTCTGGGATGAAAGCTAGAGGCAGGAACAGATGCTGATGGGCTGATTCATGAAATACATCAGGTCCTGATTATCTCCAGCTAAAAGAGTAAAAGCCCAGAAGTGCTTCTTTTGGAAAATACAACATTTCTTTCTTTCCTCCTCAGCTCACACCTTCCCTTTGCTTCCCCTTGACCAGGACTTTGATGTTATTTTGGACTCTGAACTTTCCATATTTTCTTACATTTCCAGTGTCCATAAACTTTTACTCTGTTACTGAACACAGACGGGCAAAGCTGTGGCCAACCCCTATGAGAACTGCCATCCATCTTTCTTCTCTCACCTTATTTGGTGTATCAAAAGAAAAGTATTGCAGTTCTCAGGACAGCAGGGAGCCCATGGACTTTTCTTTATATATATGAACCCTTGGTGGGCAAAACGTCCTGGCCTCTCACTTGCTTCGGATCCAGACAGAAGCAGTGATCCTTTCCTTGGAAGAGCTTCTTGGTAGAAGCGCATGTGGACTAGGCCATGTTTTCTTAGAAGCAAGTGTCCAAAAGAACAAAGTTTCCTTTTAGTGGATATTTTTGAGCCATTTTGCCTTGTAAATGCAAATATAGCAAGCAAAAGTTTTGGCCCAATTTTGCTGCAAATGATGACATTTTTGGCTTTCTCCAAATTTTTTTTT